GCGGTGGAGCGGTTTCTGTAAACACACAAAGGGTTGGTGGTTTAGATCAGCAACAAGCTCCAAGGAGTGAGTTTAATGGTGGTCGTCAAATTAACGATTCTGTTAATGAGAGATATGGTGTAGCTAACAATTCACCTCAACCTCAAGCTGGTCAAAGACAAGGGTTTGGTACTGGTTCTGGTTTTCCTGAAACATCACCAATACCTTCCGCCAGACCATATGGTTCTGGTTTTCCTGAAACATCTGCACCACCTTCCACCAGGCCGTATGGGAGCTCAAATGCAGGTTATGGAGGGTTTAAGCAGGAGCAGATTCGGACTCCTCCAACCGCTAATTCTCGTCCAGTTCAGTTGGGTTATCAGCCTCAACCACCACCATCGATGTATCCTAACCGGGGACCAGTGGCTAGGAACGAAGCTCCTCCTAGGATTATTCCAATTGCTGCTCTTAATCCTTATCAGGGTCGGTGGACCATTAAAGTCAGGGTCACTAGTAAGGGAGAACTTAAGCGTTTTAGTAATGTGCGTGGGGATGGGAAGTTGTTCAGTTTTGATCTCCTTGATGCTGGTGGTGGAGAGATACGGGTGACTTGTTTTAATGATGTGGTTGATCAATTCTTTGACCTGATTGTCGTTGGTAATGTTTATCTGATTTCAAGGGGAAGTTTGAAGCCTGCTCGGAAGGAGTATAATCATCTTCCCAATGATTATGAAATACAATTAGACAATACATCAACGATACAGCAATGCTATGAGGATGATGGGACCATTCCACGCAATCAATTCCATTTCCGTAACATAGGTGATATTGAACACATGGAGGCCAACAACGTCACTGATGTAATTGGTATTGTGTCGTCCATCAGTCCGACAGGAGCGATTATGAAGAAAACCGGAACTGCGACACAGAAAAGGGCACTTCAGTTGAAGGATATGTCAGGCCGAAGTGTCGAGGTAACCATGTGGGGTAATTTCTGCAATGCAGAAGGACAGCAATTGCAAAATCTTTGTGATTCTGGAGTATTCCCGGTTCTTGCTGTGAAGGGGGGGAGGGTCAGTGAATTTAATGGGAAGCAAGTGAGTACCATTGGATCAAGTCAATTATTCATAGAGCCAGATATCCCTGAAGCTAGAGAATTGAGGGAATGGTATGAGAGAGAGGGACGGATTGCTCCTTTTATCTCGATATCTAGGGAGTATTCCGGCGTTGGCAGACAAGATATTCACAAGGTAATTACTCAGATCAAGGATGAGAAACTAGGGACCTCAGAGAAGCCAGACTGGATCACAGTCAGTGCCACTATTTCATTCATGAAGGTTGACAATTTCTGCTACACAGCTTGTCCTATAATGAATGGAGAACGTCCATGCAGCAAAAAGGTCACAAATAATGGAGATGGGACATGGCGGTGCGAGAAGTGTGACAAATGCGTGGAAGAATGCGACTACAGGTATATATTGCAGCTCCAGTTACAGGACCATACAGGTCTAACCTGGGCCACAGCATTCCAGGAAGCGGGTGAGGAGATAATGGGAATATCTGCAAAAGATTTGTATTATGTGAAGTATGAAGATCAGGATTTGGAGAAATTTGAAGACGTTATACGCAAGGTTACTTTCACCAAGTACAACTTCAAGCTGAAGATAAAAGAAGAAACTTATAGCGACGAACAACGCGTTAAAGCCACTGTTGTGAAAGCTGAAAAGCTGAACTATCCTTCAGATACCAGGTTCATGCTAGAGGCAATGGATAAGCTCAGAACAGGAGATGCAAATTCCCTCCCTGTAAACCCAGAGAGTTCCAACTACAGATCTGATGCATTTAATTCCGGAATTGGAACCTCAGGAACCAGAGATACCGCATCAGTGGACACACGCAGAGAATTCGAATTACCTGGAGGAAACCAAGTGGGTCAAAATGGAATTCAGTCTAGCAGCGGTTCACGGCCTCTTGGTGGTATTATTAGCTGTGCTTCATGTGGCAGAAATGGCCATGTTTACGCAAACTGCCCAAGCTTTATGAGCGAGCCACAAGCAACGGGAAGATACACAGGAGGAGGTATGCCAAGGCAAAATGTTGGCGGCTACTGAAAGATAAAAGTAACCATTTCACATCATTATAATCATCTTTCAACAATTGGATACAAAGCTACTCAGGTCAGAGGCTGTTTTGACCGTTTTTTAAGTTTACTTATCTACATTAGGATGTTTGAGTCCCATTTTTGTGGGTCTTTTAGATTTCTTTTCCGTTTTTTTATTGAACACTAAAGATGTTGGTGCTTTGTATAAATCTCTTTAATGTTATGATAAGGTTGCTTCTATCAATATCAGATTCAAATAAAGTATTTTATTTTCTTTTGACCTTTACAAGAGAGAGGCTACTAAGGGAATTATTCACCTTTTTATTTCGACCCATTTTTAAAGGGATAAAACGACACCATTGTTTTACACAATTCACTGAATTACAAAACCTTCCACACACACGAAACATTGAATCCTCAAATAGTAATTTGTAGTATGTCAAACCAACAAGAACATCAATAACAGAGTCCAGTTGATTTAGCAGATTCTCCAACATTTGCATTGTAATAAACCTCCTTCACTCCTTCTCCTGTACCACAAAGTCCCCCAGAAAAGCCAGAATCATCAGAGACCTGGTTGTATCCAGAACCCGCGATAACAGTTGATGTTTCAGCAACCGTTTTCTCAGCTATTGCTTTGAGACGGTAACGTTCAGCTCTCGACCCAATCACCTGTCCCAAAATCGAAGCTCCAATGGTCAAAGCCATTGCTGTCTTGGGCATCAGCACAGACTTCCTGAGCATAGCTATAAAAGGCACAGCAGCATGGACCGCCACAAACCAAGAAGGCGAAAACTTTTTGGTGTGTTCTCTCCATACACCGAGAGGCACGTTTGCAGCCATCCCCATGAGAGCGATTGCCAGCATCTTTTCAGGTAAAGGCTGAGGGCGAAGGCTTTTCACCAAAGCGGTCTTCGAAAGTGCAGCTCTTGCAGCTACTATAGGAGCTGGACATCTATATTTCACACCAGATGGTAACTGTAATGCTTTAGCCACAAGAGGCATGACTTTGCTTGCAGCTCTGAAAGATTTGGCGATTGGACAATTCCCGGTCTTTAACCATTCATCTCCAACTGCCTCGTGTTTCGATGAGTCCCCAGACTGCAAAAAAGCAAAAACTGAATAAGTTCCCGATCCATAGTAAAGTCATGGAAGACTAATAAAGTCTTTCACAATCTAACCTGTTGTTGTTTCGACGGTTTCGGTTTCTTCTGTTGTTTCTTCCATTTCTCAGAAAAAGGACCAAACCCAAAAGGCCCTCCAGGACCAAAAGCTGATAGGCTTATGGTAGCTACTTTCCCAGCAAGAGGATTGAATTGAGGAGTAGCGCGAGGAGTCTCGTCTTCAAAATCATTTCTGAAACTCGAATGTCCAGAAAGCGGCACAATACCATCTTTCCCATGGAAGAGCTTGAATGCTGAATCAAATCCAGGACCATCTTCAAAAATGGGACCATTACTACCAGCTTGCACCTGAATCACAAAAAAATCAAAGTCCTTATGAGCATAAACTTTATCACCAACCAGTGAATCAAATAGCATAAGAGTTTCAGGTAAGAGAAATTTTTACAGGAACTGGGAAACTCAAGGAGGAGAGGGAGAAATTGGTAGGCTTGTTGATGTTTCTAAGGAAAGGGCATTTTTGAATGATGCTTTCAGCAACAAAGGGACATTGAGATGATTCTTGATCCATTGATGTCCTCTTCGCTGAGAAAATATAGCCTGAGAGATTGCAATTACAATAAAAAATTGATGATCAACGAACAAATTCCAAAATCGAATCAAAATTGGAAAAACCCCCAAAACTGTAAATACACTCTTCACAATCAAATCACCCAAAAAATTAAACCAATTATACATCAAATTCTATCATGAAAAAACCTAATTCGAATGGGAAACTAACAATCCTGCGAAGATTTCGGATGAGAAATTCAGCAGAAAAATCTATTTTGTTCAAAATGAAAAAACAAAATCGATCGCGAAACCTAAACGAGAGATCTCTACTTCGAATACAGAGAAGAAGATATAACGAATCGATTGATAATTGATTAACGAAATCGAATCGAAAAATCACCTGAGAATTTTTGATTGTTCTCGCCGGAAAAAATTTGCAGAGCGGATTTTTAGATTTTTTGATAAAAACGTGTGGTGAACACAGACGTGAATAAGAGTTTGTATGAGATTTACCGGATGGATCGGTTAATTGCGAGGTTGTTTCTTTTAAACAACCGGTGATAGCCGGTTATGTATGTAGCTTGGTTGACTTTGTATGAAAGCACATGGTAGTGTTTGGTGAGAAAACGAACCACTCAAAGACTATTTGGACGATGGAGATTAATCTTAAGCCGTTTATCATTACGATTATTTGATCCAACGGTAGAGATTCAGCTAGTTTAGCTTGAGTAGTGTAGTTGTATTTTTTTTAGCGGATAATTATAATAAAATTATGTCCACTTATTATGGTGCTTATTTCGTAGCTAAAGAAGGAGATAATTTTGAACAATATTAGAAACAAATTACGCGGTGATATTATCTAAATTTGTGTATCTTTTTCTTTTCCAAAATTTATGATATTTAAGAAATATATACGCGAAAAATACACAATTTATGAACAAATATATTATCACATCATTTTTATAAATATTGAATATAAGAAGGCATTTACTATAATTACTGTTGTTTTTTTTTTTTTGTTACGAATTACTGTTGTTTTTTTTCTCTTCAAGGTTGAGTAACTTAACATTTTTTTCTCCTTTTGTATTTCCAAAAATGGGGACAACACAAAAATAATTTTTTTTTAGGGTTATTTTGGTGTATAACCAAAACAAAAAAGTTAATTAAAAAATAAGTAAAGTGGAGGTATGTGGCAAAATCATGACCATTGGATATGG